AGTTTTTTAGTACGACTTGACCTTGATCCGTTCTTGAAAGACATCGAAGGGTATAAAGTTTGCTTAGAGGCAGTCACATCACTTGTTTTCGTGTCTATCAATCAGAGCCATATTTTGCCCACTGGACCGTTTTTTTTACTTGTTGTTCCTCAGGTTAATGTTTCCTCTCAGCATTCAACTGCGATTAAATTTCTTGCATGCGGTGCACGTTAGCTGTTTTCAGAGCGAGCATGTACGATTGTTAGCGTCACGACACTTTCTCTTGATCTTTGCAAACTTTGTTCTAAAAGCGTTTTGCACTATGGTAAATTTTGAATCCATATTTTTGTCTATTGAGGCAACTAAGAAACTGCTGCTTTTCTTGGAGTGGTTAATGGAGTCATCTGAATTTGTTTCCCGTTTGTTTATTGTTAATACTTTTGGTATTTTTATATTATTTGTTAGGAATGATTTTTTTAGTTGCTCGTTTTAACAAATTTTTATAGGGCAAGAGGAACAGAGCACTTCGACCGCTAGTTGTTGCGATTCCATTAACTGGCAAGGACGAGGGTTGGTTTAAAGTAACCGGCATAATGCCTCTGAATACAGTTTATGCCGATGTGCATTACAAAAGGTAGGGTGTTTCTCTAATAAAGTGAGGTGATGTCCAGATTGTAAAAATTTCTGCTGCGTGGAAGAGTTTAGTGCTGGAATTAAAAGATTTGACAAAGTTTCGAGTTATTTAAAAAGCAAGAGCACTAAAGGGACTCGTTTACTGAGTCGCCGGAAGCTTTCATTGTACGCATTAATGCTACGTTGATAATTCACGAAATTTAATTCAGAGTTACCAGTTTCAAAAGATGGCTAAAGTTTTGCGATTCATACGCCTATGACTGTAGCAACGTTGTCAGTGATGCCGCTTCTGTTTTTCTATGAGTTAAGTAAATTGAGTTCATAACTCACTGGTTTTTAGTTTTATTGGTCGAGCTTTTGAAAGAGTAGCAGAGCGACTGACCAACTGCGTTATACGGAGGGACTACTTTGATTCATCAAGTAAGCTTTTATAGATCAGAATTAAGGACTAAAATATATTTAGTAATTTATTTACTTTTGAAACTGAGGTACTGATTGCAATTTTAGTTATATTGCTGAGAGCAGAAGATAGAAGTCGTTTTTTTGACGGGCTACAAGCAGTTTTGGAAGCAATATCATGACGATTGCTGACAATAAGCGGTTGGTGCCTCAGTAGGAAATAAATGGAGGAGATGAATTTATTGTTAAATGAAGATATTCACTGCCCATTCATCAAAGATGATTATGCCATCTAGTCATATGGCATCCAGTTAATGACTTTTGTATACTGCCTTTCTAGAGTGAACATGACATGGAAACTCAAATTCTTGTGCTAAATGTGTAATTCCTTAAAACGGGGAGTAGATAGTTTACAAAAACTTACAAAAATAAAGTGACAAACAGGCCTATAAGACTTCGATATGGGTTTCTTGCAAACGGCATCTCGAAACGAAGAGGATCCGCTTTGGGACTAACGAGTTACTAAAAAAAATTTTGAAAGAAACAGTAGGAGGGTTGTCGACCTACAACACCAAGCCGACAAGGTGGTTATAAAGTTATTTCTTGGTTCTCCAGTTTTGCTTCAAAAAAATTTTCCATCAGTTTTTTGACATCGTAGTGGAATTATTAGTGGCACGAACCATGGAAGGACTGAGTTTTGTCTATGGCAAGTTGAGACCAGACTGGCATCACCCCGCAATGGTGCTCGGAGAACTGTTCACGAGACCAGTGGTGAGAATCAAGAAGTAGGCTTTGTTTCTAATGCGCAGATTCTGATGCTGCGGTTGTACTAAATATTCATTTCAAAATGCGCTTGTAATATTTGCAGTAGATTATCTTTTGTGCTAGGTCGGTTTGCTCAGCCAAATGCTCCTTCGAGTCAGCGGTATGGATAACTTCAAGATTAGTCGTCTGGTCATAGAAGCTCGGGGTAATGGCTGCTTTTTAACGCCACAGACCTGGGCGTTTAGCATCCTGGTTTGATTTTCGCATTCGCTAATTTTGTTGCTCGTCCGATTATTGTTACTTCACTTTACAGTTCCCTGTACCTTGTGAAAAAAGATTCTGCGTAGGATGTTATGTTCCTTTGAGGAAACAGGAAGTTTCGTATATCCTTAACTTGTTTCAGAATTTGTTTTTATTGTTTTTGTGATTTGTGAAAAAAAATTAAATTTCCAAGGGACTTCCCGATGGAAATAACGTGTTTTAGTGCTTTCGAGAGTACTTAGCCCTAAGGGAAAAAAAGCAGGTTGAAACTTTTCGGACTGCTGTTTTTGACTGACAGTTTGGTTTCCTGCAATTTCTGCAGAGTGCTGGTCCCCAGTGAGCTGGCCAAAAAGGTAATCATTTCTTTGGTCTTGCGTGGAGAAAAACACGCACCTAAGAGATTTCAAGGAGTTGACTGAGGAGAACCATTGGTTTTGAACTCAAATTAGTTCTGTTCGGCCAGGCTTGGATCTCCAACCTGAATACAAAACTGTGAAGTTCCTTAGCGAACGAGGTTAGTAGGGTCCCGGTACATCTGTCTGAACAAATGCAGCTTAGCTTAGTCATTGCAACGCAAAAACAACGAGTTTCAATTCAGAAAAACTTCTGGAATCGAAGCATTCAGTGAGATGGTTGTGCGTCGCAGCAGTTGACGAACAAGCGTACCTAAAGGTGCCACATGCAAAACTGTCAATTCAACTTCGCCACGTAACTTAAATTAATTGCATAGATGTGAAGTGTGAGTAAATTTAAACGGGACGAAGTAAAACGCTTTTAATTTGGCTACTGGTGCACAACATAATGAACAAATAAAACTGTTAGCAACCCGGAGTAGCATAATCACAACGGTAACATTGAAAAAAAATTAATACATTACGAACTTCCTCTGCGCACTGACGCAATCACTATGCACGGCATCACAATTACAACAGACATCAACATTCTTTTTAAGAGGAGTTGTTAAAACTAAACGAAATATTAAAAATTTCACCACAATGGGTTCCTAGCGGAGAGGATAGATTGACCTTTGGTGTGACCGTTACACCGTCACAATCAAAATCTAATCTTTTTTCTTCCGGCAAGAAGTATACTGCTTGACGTTCCCCAATAGACCATTTTATCTGATCCCCCACAGCAGGGCTTTTTATCGGACCACTGCTTCTTCGGTAACTATCATAATGCCACTCTCCCCAAAAAACAATGGCGTTTGCAGTTTTTGGTCTGCAACAAGCAACAACTGAATATTATCAAGACATCAAAGAACTTCCAACCTCAACAATAATATTCTTTATCACAAAAAAGTAAGAGTTAAAAACTAAAGCAGCCTGCCTGAATTTCAAAATTCTAGCTTCTTTTGCGCAGAAGAACTGTCCATTTTCAATATTCACTGAAGCAAGCATAGCTGGTTCTCCTGCACAAAACGAAACGTATTCCCACATGGAGTAAGGTTCAATCATTTCTTCAGTTGCACTTCTTGCTTTTTGGCAAATCCTGCTAAACTCAGATAAATCAAAGCCTTCCACTACTTCTACAGGTGCAACAATTTTCCAGAGATCCTCGAGATGAACCGGCATCGCGTACAACATAAAATTCTGAATATAGCCAACATATTTTTCAAACAACAAAAGTGCGGTCAAAAGTAGCAATACATGATCCATTTAACCCTTTTGTATAACGGCAGAAGTTACTTACGCATGGAAAAACAGGAATAGTTTTTGTGATTCCAAGCGTGCTTTTTAACTGTTGATTTATAAACCATATTCTCAAATTGTCCCATGGTAGTAATGAAGAGAAGAAATAAGGCTCAGACAATATAAGGTCGACTTGAGCGTACAACTTAAAAGTATGAAGCAATAAACATGAAACTTTATACAAGAGTAGCAGTCGCAAGACCGCTGAACGAGGAAGAAACTAAATACCGCCAAAAACTGTTACTTCCTACAGCGATAAGACTGCTCTGTACATTACATTTCAGAACTTAAAAACAAAAAACAATACCTCAGCCTTAAGATCAGCTTCACTCCTAAGGAACTGCGTGTTTTTCAGCCCATTATTTTCTGCATAGGCGATCAGTGCTGAACGGAAATGTGTATTATATTCCAAAATGATAACGAAATCTGCGTACTTCGCAGCTAACAACCCCACAAAAGAACCAGAGTTGATAGCTAATATAGTTTTATTACAACATACCTTAAAGGGCGAGTTATACGAAGTTTGTTAAGTAAGTTTTTTTAAAATCCTTTGCCGCTGTTTCCAACTAATAAGGAAACATAAAGTTAAAGATAATAATTAATGGACGTCATCGTTTCTGACGACACCGCCTCCTTGGGGGCGCTCGAAAGCAAGCGATAAGATGGCGCTGTAAGACTAAGGGTGACAATAATGGGTAACAAAGAGCTATAAGACCCCTTAATTACAGCTACACAATTGGAGCTAGAATAGTGGCTCCCACGTTGAGGCACACATTTTAAAAATTATAGAAAATTAAAAAACATTTTGAAAGAGAATTAATTTCAAGGAATTTATTGGGCAAAGTAACAAGCTCGGAAGTAATCTGGTCACCTCTCAACAGCTAATGGATATGCAGCCATAACTATATGTTACGACTACTTTTGGTTTTCGAGAAGAAAAGAATCGACGTAGAAATTGAGAACTTGAAAGGATTTATGAAACATTTAAATAAAACATTTCAAAAAAAGATTCAAAAAGTAAGAAGCTGAACACAAATGATAGAACCGTACTTTTTTTAAAACTTCTCTGAGCTGATCATCTCTGTCTATTTCGTTTAAACGATATACAGCATTACGTGAACAGGTGACGTGGATACCACACGTACAATAAGGGCGCTCGTTCCCCGTTTTGCTACAATGATAACGATTAGTACTAACAGTGGAGTGGGAAAACCAACTTGTGAGTACTGGAAGACTTTCCCCCAATCATAGAAAAGAAGACATTTGACCATCCGAAAAACTTTTATTTTCACTACTCATAACTGCTGAAACAAGCGAAACCTATTTGTGCTCATCCTTCAACAAAAACTAAACTTTATTGACCAGCAAAGCTTCCAACACATTACCCATTTTCACTAAAGTCAAACCACAGCGAAACTTCGTCATGAAAACACTTCAGGGCTACTGTTTGGCCACAGGTAACTGGCAGAGAATATGGCAAATAATAAACCGCCTGCATCCAGTGATCCCGCCAGTGTGCATACATATTCCACCACTTAGGGGCCGTACTAAGTATATACTTGCCTAGAAAATGAAATATGACCTTCGTTATAAAAATAAAGTTAGCACACAATTATTGAACATTGAAGATGTTGGAATTGTCAGCCAAAGGCTTACACACAGTACTGGTTCGTATCAAAAAACTTGGTAAAAACTGTAAATACCAGTTCCATCCATATCGAGGTCCCACCACATAAAGATTGCGTCCATACTATTAGCCAACTTGGACTTCACAGTGAATGACCGAACCACCATCTCATCATACTTCAGGGACTCACCGTCTTCAAAATTAAAACTGAAAGCATAATACAAATTCCATAAGTGAAATTACGTTTTATAGCATAAATTCAAAAAAAAAAAAAAA